ACACTGTGACAACCAAAACAACATCTGCCCTTCCCCCACCAACACCCAGGAACCACAACAGTGCTCAGAACCCCTTCCATATTGGCAGCATAATTCACAATGCAGGTGCCCTACACACCTGCTTCCAACGCTTTCAGAGCTGGCTGAAGTCCCCTGGATCACAGAAAATATCTAAAGAACACATCCAAACTTTCCTGTTGGAGACCATAGATTCTATACCACCACCTCCTCACCCCACCCCCAACAAACTTACAGGACAGGCCCATGACTGCTCCCAGCTTTTGTGTGATGAAATTTAATCATGTTCTCATTGCCATATGCAACCTGACTTGAGGCTCCCAAATGGGACCACAGTCCTATGTGAGTGGCGTAGGGGTGGGGGACACAACATATCCCCGGATGCAGAGTCATGAAGATTTCCCAATGGCAGGTTAGGGAGTGGCAGGATTTAATAAAGACACAAAGTCCTCCTCCCTATTTTCTTACATAAAAGTAGCAGGCCCAGAACACATCAAAAGAATAAATACCCCTCCCGTGATTTGCCAACTTTTCTCAGTTTCAGCTAATCTTCTCTCCAATGTCATCATACCAACCTTGTACCTATTTCCACATGGCCTTCCGTATCACTGTGAATGTTCCATCTGGAACTAGCAAATTGACACTTAATTAAGATTCTTAATTTTTCCAATTTTGTATTCAAAAGGACATTATTCTATAAAGCTTAAACAATAATTATTTTTTGTTTTAAGCATAGCTAAAACTGAAATAGCCAGGGGACACTTTACAGCACAAATGCCTCCTAATGCTGTAATTATACAAGTCACCCAGCTTATCCTTCCACCTCAGGGAAGAACCTGACTTCCAAGTCACCTCAGAAAAAAACAACATCAACCTGTCTCTCCAAATATTCCAGTAAAGGAGACTCAAGTAAAGGTTTCCTGGAATTGGGGGTGGAGGACTAAGGCAAAGGGTTCCAAGCCTCAGTTACCTCATGTGTACAATGAGGAGATTGAACATGATTGACTCCGGGGTCCTTTCCAGATTGAGAGTTTGAAATTGAAGCCAACAGAATCATAATTTCAGTCAAAATCTAGAGGCAAGGAGGGAATTAAGGAATTTCTGGTGGAGGCTGAGGCTTGTCACAGCAAGGATCCAGACTTAAGAGGGGAATAGGCGGTCAGCCTACATAACGAGCCATCAGGGATCACCTGCAACTGAGGCAAGATGAGGGCCTGCTCCTTCACAGTGAGGAGAAATAAGCTGTGGAGTAATAACTCCTGGGAGCAATGAACGGGGTTCTGGAGAAAGTGCTGCCTTTCTGAAAAACCAGTGAGTAGGGTTTTGGCTGAAGCCTTCTTCCAAGCTGAGACAGAGTAAAAATGTACTAAGAGTGTCCAGAAACAGGACTCAGGACAGACAGCCAGAGACAGAAGATGTGGGTCATCGTGAGAGCCCCTAAACAAGTGTGTGTGTGGGGAGGGTAAGCTGGGAGGGATGGCACTACAGAGAGGTAAGAGGAGAGCTCAATGAGCCTTCCATTGCCTTACAAAAAAGACAACCCTAGGCAAGCTTGGGCTTTCGTTGAAAATGCATGATTTCTACCAAAGATTCAACGAAGAAACTAGTCTACAGGACTGAAAGTCTATATAAACCACAGCCTCATCTACCCTGAGACCAGAATAACTAGATGATGCCTCGCTACCACTACCATTCCTTCTAATCAGGGCCACAAAAGATAGGCCCTGATAGAATGGGAGAAAAATGAAGAACAGACCTCAAATTCATTAAAAAAAAAAAAAACAGACTTACTGGACAGGTTGAGACTGGAGGACTCCTAAGACTACTGCCTTGACATATTCTTCAAACCTTGAACCAAAACTAACCCTTGAGGTCCCCTTATAGCTAAATAACAAATTGGCTAAAAAATAATTAACATCACCAGTAAGTACTATACTCGTTTAAAAAATCACCTATATGAGACCAAATGGTCAACAATTACTTTTAAAACAATGATGAGAACGTAAGGGGGCAGGGAAACTAGATTAATAGAAACAGAACAACCAGAATGGAAATAATGAGAATGTTCACGCGTTATAAAGACTGTAACCAATGTCACCGAACAACTTGTATAGAAATTGTTGAATTAGAGCCTAAACTGCTATGTAAACCTTCACCGAAAGCACAATAAAATATTATTTAAAAAAAAAAAAATGGGGGAGGGACGCATGATTTCTTCTCCCTTTCCTCTACATGCAAGCAGCCCTGGTGGCGCAGTGGTTAAAGTAATCGACTTCTAACTGAAAGGTTGGCGGTTCGAAACCACCAGCAGCTCCACAGGAGAAAGATGTGGCAGTCTGCTTCCATAGAGATTCACGGCGTTGGAAACCCTACAGGGTTGCTATGAGTTGGAATCTACTTAATGGCAGTGGGTTTGGTTTGGGGTTTGGTTCCTCTACATGTAGTCTTCTGGCTTCCTGCAATTTCTATTAAGAGTTCTAGATAATTCTACAACCATGTTCAAATGGCAGTTCCCACTCAGATGCTGCAACTTTTTTTTAGTAACACCTTCCATGCTTTTACTCCTCCAAGTCTGGGAGAAAAACTTAATGCTGGAAGAAGTCATGACTGGAAAACATCCTAACAGGGCTGACTCCCATCGCTAGCAGCATTCCCCTTTTTTCAAGAGCCTACTAAGCCTGAACTTGCTTTCCTCTGAACTCGAAGACAATTTGTTCATAAAGCTCTCAAAGCTGACTCCTGGAGCTGCAGCAGATAATTACGGCAAACATTAATTACCCATTCCCCCGGCATGGCCTCTTCCACTAACTCCTGGGAGGAATAAACTGCCAGTCACCACGTTCATGCCTGAGTGTTACAGAAACATCCCATGGAGGAGTAAACTGCTCATTCTTTACCTCCATTTTGTGCGAGCTACTGTTTTGTATCTCCTTATTCCATTGGGCACCACAGTTCTGTAGCTTAATTACCAACATTCAATAACAACGTGTATTACTGGCATTTAGACAGATTTTAAGCAGCAGCTGTCAACTTTGAAAATTGACAGCTTTTGGGAACGCCAGACTAGACTCTGCCAAGCTACACTATGGTGCCTCTGAATTCTGAAAGGAACAACATTGTATTTGTCATATCTCACTCAAAGAAGGTGATTTTCTTACACCTGCTAGAAATAGTAAAAATCTCTAGGGTGAAAACTCCACGCTGTAAGATAACTCCACGTGTGGCAATTCTGCACAGTACACCGAGTGGATTTTTGCCATCTTTTCAACTTATGAGTCTATAAACAAATGTGAACTCTATTTTATCTGAGGGACAAAAAAAAATTTTTTCATGTACTGTTGGTCATCCAGCAACCCCCTAAAACACGATTTTACGCCATCATATACCTTCACTATTTTTTCTGATAATAAAAGTAACATAAAAACAAAACAAAAGAAAAGCAAGTTCATTGTACATTTAAAAAAGTTACAAAGAATGGAAAAACAAGGGGGAAATATAAGCTATCCCTAATATCACCACTATTAAAATTTTGGTTATCCCCTTCCAGGATTTTTTTCTAATATAAACACATTTTGTTTTTAAAATGTAATATCCCCACATGTACAGTTTGGTAAGCTACTTTTTCCTCACTTGATTTACAAACATTTTCCCAGGTTAATACAGAACAAAACTAAATGACAAAATCGTGAGATTAGCCTATGTTTGCTGCCACTTCTCTCTGAAGCCTAACAATAAAAGATTTAGGAAGAAAAAGCTTACTCAAGAAAGGAAGAGCTGAGAATCTCGATTCAAATTTTTGGTGGCTTTATAGTTTCTCTGAAAATATTCATTGACTCGAGCCTGATATGGGTCCTGAATCCCATCCATGGCTTCATACATAGTACTTCATATATAGTAGGTACTCAGTGAGTATTTATGGAAATAATAAAAATGAAAGGCCAGAAAGTGGTCACCACGGTCTCTCCCGAAGCAACAAGGAGAATCTGTCGCTAAGTCATGAACACGTCCAGAATCAGTGTTAAATAAAAGTCATCTTAACAACAACCTGCAACACGAGCAAGCATTTTAAAAAACTCAGCTCTCCCATCTCTAAAACACATACGCCATTGTTGGTCTCTTTCCGGCACTAGGAGGTGTTGGAAGCTGTATGAGAATGTCAAAATATTCAGAAAGACATTTTATTTATATAAGCTATCACCACTAGGATTGTTTAGTTTCAGAAAAAGGGAGATTATAATGTGCCTATGACAAGTAGATTTTTTTACACACTGAAATGTAGCAAACAAAACACAGAAAACCTAAATGTGAAAAGGTTATTGTCAAAAGGAAACTTAATTATCAGCGAAATATGTACCCAGATTAAGTAACCAACCATTCTCCTTTCTCTATTCTCCCTTTAGCAATCTTTTATATTTTTAAGATGGAATAAACCATCACCACCACACCCTAATAAGCATCTGAAATGCAGTCTGCTTATATATCACACCTACTGCGGGAGGAGCTGCCTCGCCTGTTTAACACCAGCATCATGGGTTTGAACATAAAAGAAAAGGGACATTTCCTGTCTTTCCTGGACTGTGCATAAAATGACGGTGTATATGGTGCTTTGTACTCTTTCCATCTACAGCAGAACAAATGCTATTTCCCTTGGATTGGAATGCTGCCAAAACATTCTGGCACACATGATCCCTTCCTCATTGTGTGCTCTCCCGCCCTCCAATAATGCTTTAGCAACTATTACTCAAACCGTCGTTTAGAGGGTGTTAGGCAATGCAGCTGCAACATCACCATAGAAATCTTTTACTTACCCATATAAATACAAGTAAGGTAAGTGAAGTCCTGACACCTAGATTTCATGCTGTTAATTCTACCTTTTTATTTCTGGCTATTTTTACCCTCCCTCAGATGGTACTTGCTCTGCTGCTTTGTAGCTACGGAAACTTGTACTTTTAAAGTTTGCATAAATAACTCCTATTACTTACCATGAATATAAGATACATGCAAACAGCAGGGTGGTACCCAGTCCAGTAACCAAGTTCTCATCTCTGTACAGGTCCTGACCAAAGTCAGGCAGACAGATTGTAACATTCTTTCCATGTTCATCCAGAACTAAAGAAAAAATAAAGAACTCACCGTCAAATTGGAAAACTCTGTTGTAACTCCCGTAAGCATTCATTTTGGGAAAATTCATGCAGCTTTGGTGTACCTCCTTAGTAGAACAAATATTGATCACTGAGAACTTTACAGTCATATTTGACTCAGACTAGATTTTTGCTATTGCTCTGGTGGGTCAGATTACTGTAGATTTCAAAGCACCACTTTCCCAACATTGGCTCATTCTTAAAACAAGGCCCTTGGATTCCAGTTTAGCTAAAGGGTCCTACAGTTCCAGCACTTAGAGTCTTGCTCTTTTTCGAAGTCCCTGGGCAGTACAAACTGTTAAAGCGCTCAGCTGCGAACTGAAAGGTCAGAGGTTCAAGTCCACCCAGACGTGCCTTGGAAGAAAGTCCTGACAATCTACTTTGGAAAAATCAGCCACTGAAAACCCTATGGAGCACAGCTCTACTCTGACGCACATTGGGTCTTCATGGAGTTGAATCGATGGCCAACTAGTTTGCTCTCTTGCTCTTTTTCAGTACTATTCAAACAATAGTAAAAAGAAAAGTTAGCTCCATTTTTCAGTTGATTCAGCAGCCTCTGGAGACAGAGAAGTAGTGGGCAGATAATTGAGCACTTCCTCTGTGTCTTATCCTCTCTGGAGAAGTGGTGAGGCTAATCAACAACCACACATCTAACAGCAGTAGACAGTGGTCTGGTAAACAGCCTCCTAACCCTGATAAGAAATCAGACAGGATAACGGCCATGATATCTTCAGTCTGTAACACAGGAACCTCTTGAGGAGGTCTGGATTTTTTGAAAAATTCTTTTGAGAGGCTACATAATGAATACTTCTATAATATTACCATCAGTGGTAAACCACACTTACTTTTTATTTAATACAGTATTCAATTTTGAACATCATAGGTAGGTGTGGTTGCCAACTGTGCCCAAAAATAAGGGAGCATCAACATAGAACAACAGTCTAGAAATCATTTTACAAACATGTACTTTCTCAGTGTTTGAAGTTAGACTAAAATTATCACAGGTAATCACACTTGAAATGTGACTGTTTATGATATGGGTTAAGGAATTTTTATTCTTAGCCCAATAAAAAATGTCTTAAAAACATTAGCCAAAATATGAATTTTTTCCATTTCAGTAGTACCACCTGAAATTGAAAATAAGATTTTTTTTCTGTTTTTAAATACTACTTGTATTTAAAAATAATAATACTGTAGCCAAAAACACTCTTTCACCAAAACCAGACAGCAGTACATAAAAAGTCATAAAGAGTCTTAAAGAGGGTAGATTTAAATACACTTACAGACTCAAGATAGGGCTTAAAAAAAAAAAGAAAGAAAGAAATCCAGGTAGATTATATTTAGTAGAATACCTCTAATTATATCACTTTCCACTATAAATAGCTATATAGACAAGATCCATACATAGTACATGTATATGCTGCAATTTTCAAAATTATCTTTGTATTTGCTTTCTAAATTTAAAAGGGGAAAACAACTCTATTGTGCTGACTAATTCTGATTTAATTCTAAAGAAGAGACTATGCTTATTTAACTTAATTTATACAAAATTGAATATATCCAAATGTCTTAGTTATCTAGTGTTGCTATAACAGAAATACCGTAAGTGGACAGCTTTAACAAAGAGAAGTTTATTCTCTCACAGTCCAGTAGGCTAGAAGTCTCAATACAAGGCACTGGCTCCAGGGGGAGGTTTTCTGTCTGTCAGCACTGGAGGAAGGTCCTTGTCATCAGTCTTCCCTTGGTTGAGGAGATTCTCAGGCACAGGGACTCCGGGTCCAAAGGAAGCCCTCTGCTCTCGGCACTGCTTTCTTGGTGGTATGAGGTCTCCAACTCTCTGCTTGCTTCCCTTTCATCTCTTGTAAAAAAAAGGTGGTGCAGGCCAGACTCCAGGGAAACTCCTTTTACACTGGATCAGGGATGTGACCTTAGTAAGGATGTTATAATACCATCCTAATCCTCTTTCACATAAAATTACAATCACAAATGGAGGAAAAACACACAATACTGGCAATCATGGCCCAGCCAAACTGATACACACATTTTTGGGGGGACACAATTCAGTCCATGACACCAAACATAAACCAGTTGCCAATGAGTCAACTTCAACTCATGGTGACTCCATGTGTATCAGAGTACAACTGTGCTCCGTAGAGTTTTCAATGGCTGGTTTTTTCAGAAGCAGATCGCCGGGCCTTTCTTCTGAGGCTCCTCTGGGTGGACTTGAACCTCCAACCTTTTGGTTAGTAGCCAAACACATTAACTATGAATAAGTAAATTTTAAAACTGGGGCTGCTTGGCATGACTGAAGTGGTTAATCCCAGATCTACACTGAAATTCTAATTTTAAATTAAGCTGTACCTCAACAGTTAAATAATAGCTTATAGAGATATATACTCTTTCTTCCACAAATGAGAACGTTCACACCACAAACACATGTTCCCTGACAAGGCCAGCTTACCGAATTCTACGGGTTTGCTGGACAGAGCTGAAAAAGTGAGATATGTGACATAGCAGTTTATGAGCCCGGACTGCAGTAACCCAGAGTGTGGCTGTCCTGTAAAACACAAGAGACATTTCAACGATAAGAAAGCATGTGCCTCAAAAAATAATCAGACACCCCATCCCACTGATTCTCCTTAAACTTGAGCCCTCACCTTTCAAGTGAAGAAAAAAGGTACCTAATGTGTTTCTTTGAGAAAACTAAAAAGAATTTCGGGGGAGGGGTTATATACTGAGTCTAACACTGCTATTTTAGACATAAATTCTAATATTTTATCAACACCTACAACACCTTCTCAAGCCTATAGCTGTACTTAAACATACTGCCTAGTCCTCCTGAGGTTCACAGCATTAGTTCTTAAATCACAAGTTCAGAAAAAAGTTACCGGCATTACTTGTCAACACAAGGAACAGGTCTCATAGGGCATGGATTCCAGTTTCTACAAGGCCATCAGACACTTACAGTGCAGTCCGTGGCAGGGGAAAAAAAAGCTCTTACTTTTCAAAGGACAAAACCCTGGGGAATACTGAGTAAATATCAGAGCTGGTCTAGGCTAAAGAAAAAGCTATGGGGCTCAACATCCATAAGGAGAAGGGCTTCAAAGTTGTAACATTTACATTAAACCAAGTGTTCAGATCTTTCCAAGTAAAGGATATGATAAGGGGATCCCTCTCTCTCTCTCTCTCTTTTTTGGTGAAATTTTCAACCTGTTGACATGAAAGGATCCCATTTTATCAAATCTTCCCTCTGATCAAATTTGTTTACAGAATCACCAATATTAAATTATGACTGCCAATAAAAACCAAACCAAGCCAACTGCTGTCAAGTTGATTCTGACTCATGGTGACCCCATGAGTTTCAGAGGAGAACTGCACTCCACAGGGTTTTCAATGGCTATGACCTTTCAGAAGTAGACGGCCAGATCTTTGTCCAAGGTGTTTCTGGATAGATTCAAACCTTTTGGTTAGCAGCCAAAAGCTTAACTGTCTGTACCACCCCGGGACTCCATATTGCCAATCAAGATGTGGAAATATACCGTTTTATAAATGTTGCTCTTTGGCATGAGAATAAGACTTGCCTTAGCAACTAATGCCATTGAACCAAATATTTCCAAATTCTTATACCTATTTCAAAAGGTAGGCTTTAACCCAAAGGAGATTTTAATCTGAATATTAGTAATTTCTTTTTAAAAATTCTTAATTGATCAATTAAAGGAATTGGGAGAATATACTCTCAATTTTAAAATCAGATTTGAAATTTTTAGTACAGAAAAACTTAACTTTTAAAATTATTCAACACTAGTTGCCTTTTTTAATCACTTTATGTTAGAAAGGATTCAAGGGGGTATATGTTTACTGGCCATATTTTTCTTTTCCTACCTAGAAACCTGAATGCCATGTGCATGTTCATCACTGGCAGAGTAAGATACCTATAGGAAACCTTAGACCAGGGACCTCTGTCTCTATAACCCCAACAACAGCAAGCTGCCTTAAGACATCCAAAGTAGTGTATAAATGACAATTCACATCTATACTTTCAAAAAAAACCAAACAATAAATCCCTCGCCGTCCGGTCAATTCCGACTCCTATCAACCCTATAGGACAAGAGTAGAACTGACCCACAGGGTTTCCAAAGCCATAAATCTTTATGGAAGCAGACTGCCACATCTTTCTTCCACGGAGCAGCTGGGGGGTTCAAACCACTGACCTTTTGGTTAGCAGACAAGTGCTTAACCATTGCACCACCAGGGATCCTTTTTAAAGCACTTTCAAATCCCACTGTCTCTTCCTTTTGGCTTTGAAACAATCAGGAGCAAGGTCAGGCTCACATGTTTCTGTTGACTTCATTGAGGAATAACTTGGGTCTAAGGGAGGTTAGTGCCTTAGTGGCGCAGTGGTTAACCAAAAGGTTGACAGTTCAAATCTACCAGGAGCTCCCTGGAAACCCTATGGGGCCGTTCTACTCTGTCCTATAGGGTCACTATGAGTTGGAATCAACTGGATGGCAATGGGTTTGGCTTGGCTTTTTAAGGAAGGTTAGCTCATGGAGCCAGCTGCTGGCTGAGCTGGGATCGGATTCCTGCTTCTTAACTCCTAGACCACGCTTCCCACCCCTCCACTCTTTTTGGTCCATAGTCCTTGAGTAAAGGATGACATCAGAAACAGCTCTGAGAACACTCTTATTCAACTTTTACACAGAAGTTATAGGGAAGCTCACAAAAACTATTTTTAATATACACCAAGAGCATTTTCCATTTAAAGGCCCCTTGCGGTAAATCAGGATCCCTGGTAGTGTCGTGGTTAAAGCACTCAGCTGCCAACTTAAAGGTCAGCAGTTCAAACTCACCAGCCACTTGGTGGGAGAAAGATGTGGCAGTCTGCTTCCATAAAGATTTGCAGGACTTGTAAATCCTATGGGGGCAGTTCTACTCTGTCCTCTAGGGTCGCTATGGGTGGAACTGACTCAATAGCAGTAGATTTGGTTTTTGGGTTTCCTGACATGTGGCCTGACTCTAACACTCAGCTCAAGTGTGAAAGATGAAGAAGAGACCGCATGAGCCCCACCTTTCCTATTGCGGGCCTATCCACAGTAAGTTAAGAACTGACCATTGTTTCAAAGAGAGATACGCTGGGTTTGCTCAAAGATACTGAGAAGAGTGCAAATAAGAAAGAATGGAAAAAACCACACTTACGGTTTTGAACACAGGGGGAAATGGCCACCAATGAAATAAGCAGGCACAGGCCTCCATTTATTCCTAGGAGAACTTTGTTTTCCATGCAGCCTTCTTTCTGTGTATAAAACACTGCCATCAAAATGAAGCCTCCCGTGGCAATGGAATACATGATGAGCGTCACCAGGGCTAGACAGGCATACCACAGCTTGTTAGTTGCTGTTCCTGCAGTCCTGTTTTTCAAGGAAGTCAGTAGGGGAAGAGGAGAAAAGACAGGTCCGTGAAGCACGCAATCCTGACCACATTTACCATCCTTCAGGCACTAACTAACTGCTATCAGGCTCCTAAGCTCTTATAAGATGACTTATCCAGAAGGCACGTCATTTAAGCAATCATTATGCTCTATATCAAAGTTGGAAGGTTCCGGTAACTATGCAAACTTCTTGGTTCAACCTTAGAATTTCTCTAAACACAGAGAATTCCATTTCTGATTTAAGTGTATTCATCTATTCAAAGAAATAAATATAGGCCTCAAATCTGACTTGATTCTAGCTTCTCCATTCTGAATTTGAACTACCCTGGGACAGGTTTTGGAAGTATTAAAAAGAGGTTCTTCTCTGGGGTTCAAGTTTTCCCTTAAGCACAGCGTCTGGAGTGCCACAGTCTCTATTCCGAGTGCTACCAGCAGTTTCTGCTGATGCTCATTTTTTCTTTAGGGAGAGAAGCAAATTAGCTTCACTCAGACAGACTGGCTGACCTTAGCTCTTTTCTCCCTGTACTGAAAAGGAAGATCTGTAAAAATAGCGCTCCTCCAAAATAATACCAATATTAAGGGAGAATTTGATATATTAAAAAAATGGAATATAAAAATCAGCTGTAATGGGATTTACAACAAAAAAACTAACAGATGGAATTAATGTGCTTTACAGTTTATACAACTATTAATAAAAGGAAGGGAGAAAGAAACAGTGGTTTAAATCTATAGAAGTTTTTCAGAACAAAGAAAAGAGTGTTTATAAACTGTAAGTGAAGAGGACAGAACAACAATAGGAAGAAGGCACTGAATCAGTCCTCTGTCTTACGGTTCAATCGCTCTTTGTAACCACATTCTCAGAACCCTTCATGGAGCAAGCCACTTGCTTTATATTTTCACAAAACTGGAAAGTGTTCAAGCAACCCAGCTAAAATGTTTTAATGATGAAAAGTTACTGCAGCCAGAGGCAAAGAAAATAGGGAGGAAAGGCCAAAATGGTAATGACCGTTGTATTCCTGAAACCAAGCCAGGTACTCCAATGACTAACATAATTCTAATATAAAAGGCATGCAAAGGAAATGAGAGAAAATGAGACTCAAGAAAGGAGAAGGGAAAAAAAAAAATCTAAGAACCAAATAATAACTGATGGCAGAGAGACAGAATGAATCACATTTAAAAAGGTGAACACTGCTGACCTGTGGTGTATGGACGCAATTTTTTTCTCCAATAATCTTTTGGGTTATGGTATTAGTATATGAAGGACTTTCTTATAATTATATTATATTCCCAAAGTTAAATCTTCCCTGAACTCCGTCTCATATTATCCAACTGTTTTACTCAACCTCTGCACTAAAAGGTCCAACAGGTATCATCTCAAACTTAGCAGCTCTAGAGTGTTGTTGTTGCGTGCCCGCGAGATTCCAACTCATAGTGACCCTATGTGACAAGAGTAGAACATACGGTTTCCGAGGCTGTAATCTTTAAGGCAAAGATTGCCAGATCTTTTCTCCTGTGGACAGTGCGTTTGAACCATTGTCAAAAAATTACAAGTTTTGCATTATGGAAACATAAAGAATTCTCTTATAACACTAAAGGTCATCTTTTAGCTACACTATAAGCTACCCTTTTAACGTAGCTAGGTAACTAGGCCTACTGAAACCAGAAAAGCTGGTTTCGTTATTCACTAACTTTCACTTAAAACTCAGAAAACAATCAAAATTAATAAACACCCTGTTTTCAAAACTAATGAACATACCCTGTTTTCAAGATCGATGAACATATTCTGTTTTCAAAGCTTTAGGAGTCTTGTGACCAAGACTCACAGATCTTGTGATTGTCCTGAAACTGTTTAACAAAGTTACATAAACATCAACCAATCAGAAATTTTGTTCAAAAGTTGCTGATAATTTTGTATATAAGCACTTTAAGAATCCTGATTAATTAAAGCACTTATTTACTGTGTAAATGAGTGTGCTGCCCAACTTTAAAATGTCTATTACAGCTGCACAGCAATCTATTAATGGGGTCCTGAGTTGTTTATTTTTTGATACTGCCAACCCACAGGTTTGCAGGTTAGCAGCTGAGCACTTAATCTTTGCGCTGCCAGGGCCCCTTTTAGGTCTAGACTAATCTCCCAATATTGCCATCTCTACTCCCAAATCTGCTCTTCTGCAATCTTCTCAACCTGAGAAAATGGCAATTCCATTCTTCCCACTCTGGGGTTGGGGGCAGGAGAAAAAAGAGAGAGAGAAGAACAGCAGTCACTCTTTTTCTTCTAGTCTCCCTCCCCTCCTTCATTACCACCCTACAGCCATGCATCACTCCATCAGCAAATTCTACTGTTTCCAACTTTAGAATGTATGCAAAATCAAACTACTGCTACTGCCCGGCACCAAGCTACCATGTCTCTCACTGGGATCATCTCCTAACTGGCCTCCTTACTTGCACCACTGGCCCTGCCCCTTCAATCTCTTTTCAATTTAAAACATAGATTACATTCCTCCTGTTCTAAAACTCTCCAGTGTGCTCCCATTTCACTTTAAAAATGGCCTCAAAAGCCCTATATGATGTGGCTCGGTGCCATTCCTCTGATTTCATCTCCTACTACTCTTCCTTCACCACTGCGTACCAGCCACAGCAGTAGCGCCTTTGTTCCCTGCACAGGCCAAGCACAGGCCTGTCCCAGACCCACCCTTACTTCCTTCGGGTCTCCCTTACGCTTATGCCTTTCCCTGATCATAAGATAGCAACCTGCCCAGTTCTCCCTAGCCCTTTCACCCTGCTTTATTTTTCTCCAGAGACCTTCTACCACTGAACTTATTACATATTTGCTTGACTATCAGTTGTTTATTATTTATCTCCCCCCAGGAGAATGTAAGCTCCAAGGGGCAGGACATGGTTGTGGTCACTGCTACACTCTTATTGTCTAGAACGGCGCCTGACACTGTTATTGAATATGGGCTCAAGGATTGTTGACTGTTAAAAAAAATAACATGTTGTAAGGGCAAACACAAATTAAAAATAAGAGGTTTTAATTCTCCTTGTTGAAAGTAAGGGAAGACACTTCCCCCTCCCTTTTCTTTCAGCATTCACTTTAGAAATCTTTTAACTGTGATTTCTTTCTATGTCTCTTTGAAAATTATGTAAATCTAAGCTGTTTCCTCCAGAACCTGGGAGCCATTTCTTTTGAAATGTAATCATCCCAGCTTCCTGGGAGAAGATGAGCTTAACTTCATTCAGGTGGCACTGGACTCCCACTTTCAAACCAACTTCTCTGGTCAAAAAGATAATAGAAAACTGATCTTGAAAATATGCATGCAATGGGTTGTATCCACTTAGCTAATAAAAGAGGAAGATTCCTTTCTGTCTTTGTAATCTCTTTAGCATTATGCATCACATTCTGGTTTAATACATACTCAGTAATAATATTGTTTTCTTTCTCTTGCACCTTTGTGGAGAGGTTTCCTGGGTTGGAAGATTTTGTTTTTAATTACACTTTCCCAACAGCGTCAATGTTAGCAGAGTGTCTGCTATTCCTGCTACACCAGATTCACTCAGTCTTACAGATGACGCCTTGTTTTTGCAGATATCTCAAATAACTATCATGACTGGTTTATCTTTATACTCTCAGTGCCTACCGCACTGTCTGGCACACAGTGAATATTCAAAAAATTTTGTTGAATAGATAGTGTGAAAGAGAGAAATTGATAGCAGGTATCTTGCTTTGATTTTGGGGTTTTCTTACTCATGAAACCAAATATTCACTTTAAAGTAATCCCTGACCAAAATGAATCTGTGGTTTGTTTTTCTTTCACCCAAAGTTGCAAATCCTCTTTCCTGTTCCAAGCCAGGCTTACTGAACTTGAATTTCAAAAGATATGGCTGGGTGGAGGGGCAGAGACCATCTTGTAAACTAATATCCATTGATCTCAATAAAAGCGGGAGGGCAGGGTTCAATCAATCATGTTAAGATTAGTCAATGGTTGATCTTCTGTATGTCTCCCTCCTCTTCTCTAAATAAGCCTCACTGCACCTAGCTTCTTCAAGCCGTTTGCTTCTTCTGGAATCAAAATGGTCTCCCTATATGCATCTACAGTAACTGCTCAGAATGTTCAAATTTCACTGAGCTTTGATTATTCTTAAATGCACCTGAATGGAGATTAGAAAAGGACCAGCAACAGGGCAGAATGGACAGATCTAGCAGCAAGTAGACAACAGGTTGAGAGTTCTGGCTGGGCTCGGGCTCAGTATGAATTTCATGATTAAACAAAACCCAGCAATGACAGCAACAAAGTAAATAAAAAATCTAGTACATTTAAAAAATGGGTGTTTAGAAACACCAGAATATACTATCTACATTTTTGTTATTTCAGTTTTGATATAGAATTGATACATAAAATCACAAAATTTGAGCCAGAGAGAAAAACACATTAAACATCTAGCCCAACCACATTTTACAGGTATGAAACCTGAGGTCAGAGAGGCCAAGTGATACGCTCAAGGTTAAATGAATAGCAAGCTAGAGGATAAGAGTCATTAAAATGGCAGCCTCCTAGTTTCTAGCCCATGGCCTTCCTAGTCCACTGTCACTGGAATCATCTCAGTCTCAGGATATATATGTATTTCTTTCTTTTTTAAAAGAAAAAGGGGGGAAAACAAACTAGTTTTGCCATGAAGAGTGATATGAGTATTATATTTTCTAGACTAAGCTTGTAAGCAAGAGCCTTTGTTAAAACACACACACACACACACACACACACACACACACACACAAAACTACCAAACTTGAAAATTTAAATGAAAATAACAATATTAGTGAGCTTCCTAGCTTATTCCTAATGGTAAGCAGACAAACCAACTACAAATATGTTGACAAAAGGGATTTTGTTGGACCATCAGCCTCAAGGCCTGGACAACAGTAGCATCATTTGCTGCAAAGCTCTTAAGTCATATTTATTGAGTGGTTTCTAGGAAGTTTTTAAAGCAGCCAAACTCTTCCAAAATTCCTGTTAAAACTTGGCATCGATATTTAGTCTCAGAAAATGGCTTAGAAGCAATCAAAACATTAAGGTCAGAGTGAAGAAGGAAAACATTCTTAAGGGAGCAGGCTATTTAACGAGTGAATCAGCCACCCAGTATCAAAGATTTTAATATTTTACCATGAAGTTCCCCATCTGAAGTATATCTGTGAAAATTTTAGGAAAAATTCAGGATAGCATATTTATTTTGTCTAATAAAATATCAGAGCGAAAGCACATTAAGAATAATAGAAAGAGTAATATTTAATCAATTAGAATGCATTTCCATCTTTGTAGGTTTTTTTTCTCTACAACTGAGAAAATAGAGTCACATAAGAACTCTAATAACCCACTCGGGTTATTTTTAAGAAAACTGCTGCCTCAGAGCAAGATCTAGTAGAAATTACAAACATAAATTGCAAGGTTTTAAGGATGACTCTAAAAGCAGGACAGCATGCAATAACTTATCCAAGAGCATAACTCAACTCTGAAAATTAGTATTGTTTTTAAGATTAAGACTTTAAAAAAAACCCAAAACATACCTATAGTGCTACTTGTGTGACTATTCAGTGTGCTTTAAAAAACTGGTCATAACCTTAGTCTCATGGGACAACTCAATCAATTGGCATTATATTTCACAAAGTTCATGTTCTGCATCCTACTGAGGTGGGTAGCATCAGGGGTCTTAAAAGCTTGCGAGCAGCCATCTAAGATACAACTACTGGTCTCTACTAGTCAGGAGCAAAAGAAACAAGGAAACCAAAGTCTCAGAGAGAAACTAGTCTACAGGGCTAACAGACTACACGAGCCATGGTCTCATCTACCTTGAGACAAGAAGAACTAGATGATGCCCAGCTACCACTACCGAACATTTTGATCAGGGCCACAATACGTGGACCCTGATAGACTGGAGAAAAATGCGGAACAGAACTCAAACTCTTAAAGAGTCCAGACTTACTGGACTGGTTAAGAATAGAGGATTCCCTGAGACTATCATCCTGAGATACTCTTTAAACCTTGAATGAAAACTATCCCCCGAGGTCACCTTTTAGTGAAATAACAGATTGGTACACAAAATAAATAATATTATCCGTGAGTATGGTGCTCCATTAAAAACCACCTAAATGCCCATTAACAGATGAATGGATAAACAAAATGTGATACACACATACAATGGAATACTACTCAGCCGGAAGAAGAAATGAAGTCTTAATACATGCTATAATAGGGATAAAACTGGAAGACATTATGCTGAGTGAAGCAAGTCAATCACAAAAGAACCAATATTGTATGACTTCACTTACATAAAAATACAAGAAAAGGCAAATGTAAAGCGAACAAAGCTTATTAGTGGTTACCAGGGGCAGGAGGGAGGGGGAAAAGGGGATTAACAGGGATGGAAATATATTAATTAAGGGTAGGGTTGCAGAGCCCATTATGGTAATTGCTGTCAGCAAGTTCTACACTTGTAAAAAACTGAATTGACAAAAGTTGTATGACAGATATATTAACAACAACAACAGAAGAGTAGCTGTTGAGGCTGCTTATGTATAATCAAAAACCTCATGGGATTTGGTTTCTTGATTGGGAGGCTTAGGGTCATGGTTTCGTGGGACATCCCAGTTAAGTGACCTAAAACATATTTAGTGCTTTTGTTCTACCTCCTAGTTCTATGTTTAGTGCCTGGGGTCTTAAAAGCTTTCAAGTGGCCATCCAAGGCACAACAATTGGCCTCTATTCACCTGGAACAACAGACGAAGAAGAAGAGACAGGAACAGAAGGAGGATGTGGAATGCATGGCTAATTGCCACCATGAACAACTGCCTCCTTTGCCATGAGACCAGAAGAACTGGATGGTGCCCAGCTACCATGACTGAACATTTTGATCAAAGACTCCATAGAAGAATCTGATCAAAAAGAGGAAAATTCAGAACAGAATTTCAGATTCTCATGGACTCCAGAATTCCTGTAGCCATAAAGGTTGGATGACCCTCTGAACTACTGCCCTGAGATAATCTTTAAACCTTAAACGAAAAATAACCCCGGTGGTCTTCTTAAAACCAAACAATAGTTTAGCTTAACTAGCAAAAAATGTCTTGCCTTGAGCATTATGCTCTTTTAAGAACGGTCTATATGGGATCTAACTGAAACAACAACTTGAAAGATTAGATAGGAACCTTAGTGGGCAGTGAATTTATATTAATGGGGGAGGAACAACTCAGAAAAGGTGAGTGAGCATGGTTATACAACTCAAAGAATGTGATCAATGTCATTAAATGGTACATATAGAAACTGCTGAATTGGTATGTTTTGTTGTGTATATTCTCAGCAACAAAAACAAAATAAAGAAAATTGTATTTAAAAAAAAACTATGAGACCAAAAGGTCAATAAATACTCTAAAGCAGATACAAGAAGATAAGGGGGCAGGGAAAAGAGAGTACTGGAAATAGAACAACCAAAACACAATTAGAGAAAATGCATGTTGACATACTGTTAAAAATGTAACTAATATCACTGAACAACTTGTGTAGAAATTGTCAGATGGGAACCTAATTTGCTTTGTAAACTTTCACCAAAGAAATAAATAATAACAAAATATTATTAAAAAAAAATTGGTCATAAGTATTTGGTTGTGCTTAATCCAGTATTTACCAAATAATAAAATGATCAAACTATCTTTTTACTCATGAATCCTGACAACTGCATCTTATAATTTGATCTTTAAAAAAGAAAACCAAAAATTAACAATAACTGCCAGGCTTAGGAATAGGTTCAGAATATAAGTACTTTCAGATCTGTATTTTGTTTCATCCAAAATAAAAATAAAACATTCATATAACACTATAGTTTGTTTTTCAAAACTTACTATAAAATATAATGATGCCTCTAAAGTAACAAAAGCCTTACTGGGTACAACAGGCAGATATTTTTATTCACATCTTACAAATAAGGAAAAATAAGACAAAGAGCAGTTAATGCTTTGCTCAGAGTCACAAAAAAGAACTGAAAAGAGCTGGACCCCTTGTCCAGTTGTCATTTCTTTACATGACCCAGCAAGAAATAAAACTGGCTATTAATTGTTTGGCGTTTCTCAGCCTAGAATGTGAATCTACTTTCAAGGCACGTAGAAAATGTCTCTTTCTAAAAGGCAGGATGGCTTTCTAATATAGCACAACAGATCTTCCTAAGGAAGGGAAAGGGGTCTTTCTACTCTGAGGCAGCTGAAAAGGAACAAAAGTGGGAGAGAAGGTATTCAATCTTACATTCTTTGCAGAAGGTGAACCTTCGGCTTGAAAGTAATGGGCTGTTTTTTTATATTGTAAGGATGGGTGAATGTGAAGCCCAACCAAGTTTTCAGCTACCATAAAAACCACAGACTCAGGGCCAAAAGGTGCCACCAATGGGGGTGAATGTGGTTAACTCATACCACTGGCTGGCTGAGAGCCCATGTGAGACAGCCAAAAAGTCAAAGAAAAAGAAAAAAAAAAAAAAAGATGTGGAATAAGGAAAGGTAGAAAGAATAGGAAAATAGAATGGAAGAGTAGTAAGTGAAGAGGTATAAAGGGCTGGAGTGGAGTAAAAGTACCAGCAAAGATTATTTTTGGAGCAAGCAGGCTATTAACCCCTAAAAATACATTTCCTGGTAGAGCTTTTTCAATACTATACCCTGGACAGTTTGTGAGTCAATAAGTTCGCTCAGAAGCTTTCCATGAAGGCACATACCAGTTCTTGTTCCATTTATGTGCAAACTCCACAAGCAGGATGAGCTGGATGAGTATAAAGATGAAGCCTCCTACCGCTCCCACATAGCGCCAGGCTGCAGAAAATCATCAACAAATGGAGATGAGGTGACTGATCCATGTGTGTACCTCAAAACAGAGGAAATGACTATAGCTAATTTCTACTGAATGCTCACCGTACACGTGACACATTTAATCCCCACACAACCATCTAAGTGGGTACTACTACTACACCCACATTATACATGGGAAAACTGAAAGTCTAAGTAGTACCAAAGTCCCACGGCCAGTAAAGGGCATAGTTGGGATTTAAACATAGGCATTCTGCATCCAAACTTAGCCTCCATGCTATAACTTTCAGACAGCTAACAGATGCGGTAATTTATAAAATCCACAATTACCCACAATTTAAAATCAAGAGCCATACCACTTGAAAACTCAAGGTTCAGATTTTATTAGACACCACCAATATCTGGTGAGGGAATGAGGTCCAGACAGGGAGGGCAGGGCTCAGACTCTACTTCGGGCTCTGCCACAGGGAGGCCGTGGCCTTGAGTGAGCCACGTTACATCTCTGAAAATGACTGCAGACTATGGAACTTCTAGGTCGCTTCCCATTCTAAACATATGATTCTAATAGACAGAAGTACCTCAGTGGGGAATAGAAAACTAGTTAACAGGTTTTTTTTGTTCATTTGTTTTGTTTTTGTTTGGTTTTAGCTAAAATCAAGACATACTGTTTGTTGTTGTTTTGAAAGGGCTTTCAAAATAGAGGTCTCATTTTACATAGCGACTGTGATAGTGGACACCAACGGCATTCCTTTAGTAACTCATGAGTGGATGTAAACATCACCATGCCAAAACACCCTAGATGGCTCTTCCAAACCTCCAGCCCCAATATCCGAAAGACAATGGCCCTTTCTCTCCAACACCTGCTTCCTGTCATAAGTTTCAAATGTGTAAGAGGAATATCCATTTTCCTGTAGGATTAAAGTTTAAGTTTTTTTTAAATGATGGTTAAAAGGGATACAACTTCCTTAAAGAGTATACAAGAAAACTAGTATGACTGGCTAGACCCTGATATAGGACTATCTGAGGCACCATGGCTGCTCCCTGGGAACTGACTCAACGTATTTTCAGTATCTTGATTAGGAAAGTGAACCCATCTGGGCTGAACAGGGTTTTGCACTACTGAAATCCAGGGCCCTCTCCCCTCCCCACTTGCCATAGCTCATATGAAGGGCTTCCAGTTTCAGCTGCTATTAAAGGCTTTATATTAAATTAATTTGGGCAGGTTCTATCCATAAAGATGAGTCCTGGTGGCAAAGTGGTCAACAGCTCGGCTGCTAATCAACAGGTCCGGCAGTTCGAATCCACCAGACGTTCCTTGAAAACCATATGGGGCAGTTCTACTCTGTCCTATAGGGTCGCTATGAGTCGGAATCAACTCGAAGGCAATGGGTTTGGTTTTTGGTTTTATCAATAAGGAATATAATTCAATGTTACACAGTTTCACATAAAGTAAATTTACAAACTGGAGGATGCCTTCCTTACACCACTAGAGCTGTGCAGATGTACAGCTGCTACAGAGCCCTGTGTTCTGTGGCATGGGGTTTTCTGGGCCGTGCTCAGAAATAACAAGCTCTCCCAGAGCCTCTTCAGACGAAGCTGGTAAAGTCACCCTGACAAGCCAAACTGATTTTCAAACAAATTTTAAGTGCCTCATTTTCCCAACAGACCAATAACCTTACAATTATCATTTCAATCCTTCAGCCAGCAAAGTAACAAAAGGTCCTCTAACACCCTGCCTGGAAGAGAGGAGGTAGGGCAGAGGCTGGAAAGAGGCTGAGGGGAGGGGTGAGGGAGGGATGAGAGAAAGGGTGAGGGAGGGATGAGAGGAAGGGTGAGGGAGGGATGAGAGGAGGGAGTGGAGAGGATGGATAAAGTATGGGCAGGTAAGGCATTTTTTTTTTTTAAGCCACAAGATAATCCGCAATTCAAAGTATCAGAGGCGCTCTGGACTTCGCCTTTGAACAATTTTACAAAATGGGTAAAAACAAAATAAATAGGTACCCAAAATAACCCATTTGTACCGTTCAGAAAGGTCTCCTGATCTGGAATGAAGAAAGCTCCTGAGCACATGGCCCCCAACAGCAGAAGTTTAAAGAACCAAAAGCTGGAAGGAAAAAAAAAAAAAAGAGGAAATATATTTAAATGATATTCAAAGAAGGACAAAAGACCTCTTAGAAGGTAAGCACCGTCAATCAATGATTCTACCCATTGGAATGTTCTCTCCAAATCGAGGGGAAGTAATTAAGTGACTGAAGAAGGCCTTTTCCTTAATTAGACAGACTCGGCATGGCCTCTGATTGTGCAAAACACCATTTCATTGGAAATGACCTGGGGAAAGGTCTTGCTTGGTACAAGAAATATACTCCTTTGTCTCCACTGAATTTCTCATTACTGTAGCAGGTGTTAGAAATAGTATGCTAGCTCTTAGGACACTACGTGGTGACAAGTGTAAGTTCCACCTTCCGTAAAATCAATGTCAACAATTCCAACTAGAGGAAGAGCAGTGAAAAGGGTCCAATGAATAGAAGGGGTGCTGGAATACTGTTCAGAATATAATAAACGAGAAAATGCCCACAAAGACCCATGACTTACCCATTGTGAATATGAGCTCGACAACTTTTGCTGTTGTTGATTTTGAGGGTCAGGAGGAAGAAGATAAAGAAGAAACATGCCATTCCAAAACAAACTTTATACACTGCAGAGTATCCTACTAGCGTCTCACAAGTGTCACCAGCTTTAATGCCTTTACAAATATCTTCATAAAAAGGAATCTGAGAAAGAGAGAAAAGTCACCTGTTAAAACTGACTAAAAGATGTGCTGGCACAGGACATTTATTCAGCCTACAAGTAAAAATCCAGTTGCGGAAATGCACCATATGCTAAAGAAACAAGGCTGAAGAAGAAAAACGTATTCTCTAACGGCTTTTCGTTAATTTTCTCTGAATCTTTCTTACAGATACGGTGTTCACAAAGCACCACTCAGTCTTTACTTACCCAGGAAGATTCGAAGTAAACAGCTTGCATTATCAAAATATTTAAAATCATACACAATGAGAAGAAGTAGCACATTTCTATTAATGTCAAAACACAAAGATATAGTCAATTGTAAAAACGTGCTTCTAAAACAAAATAAAGCATCGTATCAACATCAGAGTTGAACAGTCTTCAGAAGAGAAAATAAGTTGAAAAATATAAAGTTACTCACATTGTAGCTGTTATCCACCAAAAAGAGACAAAAACATTGCACAGAAAAAAATAATAATAACACAAAACCAGAGGTAAAATTTCAGAGTGATAATTATGAAGACATTTTATAGCTTATCTTCCAAAAAAGGTCTTCAAGAAATAATAACGACTGAGGCTACTAACCTTCCCATAAACAAACTTAATTAGCGCTCATTTCTCGGGATGAGGACCTACTTACTCCTCCTCCTCTCCCCCAAAAAGGGCCCCAGTTTTTACATTTGAATCTGAAAATACGTTTTTCCAAATAAGTACCCCAGGCAAAAATGCATTATTTCTGAGACTCTACTAGTATAGCCCTATTTTCATGAATAGATGTGAAAAACTTGATAAAGAAATGTCAATCCTTTGGTTTTCAGTCAGTTCCTGCAACTGCGAATTTTCTGGAACAGAGGGAGGCATAAAGAAATATCTTAACTGTATTTGACTGGGCTACAAAACAAACTAACACACTTGGAGGACTGCCAAATAAAACAGGATGTCAGTTAAATTTGAATTTCAGATAAACAACGATAATTTTTTCGTAGTTAGTATTTAGTACTAAGCTCAAAGGCAGAGTCCTGCTGGGACACGCCAGTTGTGTCCATGCTAAGAAATCCAGCCCCCATCCTGTGGCAAAGGGAAATGACTATTTAACCCTTAATACTTATGGCTGCAAAAGTGGAGGGCATACTGGAAAGGAGACAAATTTGAGGCAGTACCCTTGGTGGTGTAATGGTTAAGAACTATGGCAGCTAACCGAAAGGTCGGCAGTTTGAATCCAGCAGGCACTCCTTGGAAACCATATGGGGCAGTTCTACTCTGTCCTATAGGGTCTCTATGAGTCGGGATCGACTCGGAGGCAATGGGTTTGGTTTTTGGTTTTAGGGCAAGTTAGAAGGCCACTGGCTTAACAGTCTAGGTAATAAATGAAGAAGGCAAACCAGTAGCAGAGAAAAGAGAGATTCTGTAGGTAGAAGTCATAGTTGGCAGGACTGTATGGATGACAACTCAACTGAAGGATGAGGGATGGTTCTTTCTTTTGGGATGTAGGGAGAGAGAGGTGGAGAGGACAAAGAGGGGAAACGCAAGAACAGATCAGGGTTTGTTTTGTAGCATATAGGGTCTGAAGCACTCTGAGGCATCCCAGTGAGAATGCTTCTGGAAACTGGTTCAGAACAGCAGTTAGAACTGGACACTAGGACACAGGAAGGCACCTGCACACAGGTAGTAAGAGAAGTCACACAAGTGATTTCTCAAGAGGTCTGAATATTTTGCTGTTTTAATTAAGAGTATGCAATCTGCCTGGTTAAAGGCTTCAGATACTGAAGTAATGGGAGACCACACACAAAGTTTCAGAGATTCTAACCCGAAAGTTATACTTGTATGACAAGTACTGATAATGAGGAAGCAAAATTAATTTAAATCTGTAAAAGCTATATTCATGAAGGAGAAACCATACTCATTATGCCATTTTATTTACATGAGATTCATTGCTCTCCAATATTCATTAAACTCTTTCATTCCCTCTCTTCTCCTCTATCCGCAACACCAAAAACTCAAAACCAAAACCACTGCTGTCAAGTTAATTCTCACTCACAGCGACCCTATAGGACAGAGTAAAACTGCCCCACAGGATTTCCAAGGAGCAGCTGGTGGATTCAAACTGCTCATCTTTTGGTTAGCAGCCGAGCTCTTAACCACTGCGCCACCAGGAATCCTCAGCAAGACCACTCGCCCTTAAACCACTTCCTGACAACTCCACCCCACCCAGCCCTGCCCCCACTATAATACATGCCTGTTGGCACTTCTTTAGTCTAAACCAGCCCACCCTTCACCTTCTGGCTCTTCTCCCCCTTCCCACCCCAATCCACTGCTCGCTCCTTCTCCCCCTAAACTCCATTTCAAGCAGAATGTTAATACTCAGAGGGAGGCATAAACAGATGTTACTGTATTTGACTGTATTATTCTGAGAGGCAGGAGCTTCTATCCTATCACCCCAACAAATCCCCTCCCTTGATTACTTCAGTCCACCTCAAATGTACCCAAAGCTTTCAGTTCATCAAAGAGTGAGTAAGTGACATCGCATATTCATCCAAAATAAACACAGGCAAACAACTCCTGCTCCAAATACTAACCAAGACCTCCTTTATGCTCTGTGGGTGACTGGGCATATTTAGCCTTCATAAGTGGTGAATATTTTCAGGCAAAAAAAACCTCCAAGTTGAACAAGCTGGCAAAATTTTAGTACAGGGAATTTGTTCTGATTAAATATTTGCTGTTCCAAGCTCCATCCCAGTTTTAGAAAAAAGAAAATACACATCACACACAGATTCCACACTGCAGGGTGAGAGGACACATCTGCTAAGGGTATTGCCCCTTAAGACTGGCCCTGGGCATCCAAGGACAAGCACGTAAGCCAGGTTCACACTGAGAGCCTGTGCTGTTTCTGTACAGGCCTCTGAGAGCAAGGGGTTTCCTCCCAATCCTCAAAGCAACCAACAGCAAAGTCACACATTATCAAGTAAGAACAAATAGTTCACACGGACTTGCAATCCTAACTCCACCACTTACCATGTGACCTTGGGCAAGTTGCACACCCTCTCTGAGCTTCAAGTTCCTCATCTGTAAAAATGAAATAATACTACCACCCACAGAAGGAAGTTGAGAATGAAATCAGATGATCCTTATAAAGTGCTTACGTTGTAGGGTAAAAACATCACAAAGTTTAGTAAAGCAAAAAGAAAGTTTTATTCCAGCATATATTCAAAAAAGCAAAAGTGGGAAGTGGACAAGCATGCTGCCAGAGCTAATGTCTGCCTGAATCCAAGGAATATTACAGAATAGACAAAAGTGGAAAAAACGGACCAGCATGCTGCTAGAGCCATGTCTGCCCGAGTCCAAGGAAATATTACAGAATACACAAGAATGGGAAAAGGGACAAGCATACTACTAGAGCCATGTCTGCCTGAGTCCAAAGAATACTACAGAATAGTCAAGAATGGGAAAACGGACAGGCCTGCTGCCGGAGCCACGTCTGCCCGAGTCCGGAGACTATTACAGAAGAGGCAAGAATGGGAAAACAGACAAGTATACTGCCAGAACCATGTCTGCCCAAGTCCAAGAAAACATTACAGAATAAGCAAAAGTGGGAAAACGGACAAGCATGCTGCCACAGCCATGTCTGCCCAAGTCCAAGGAATGTTACAGAATCACCATTATATATTCACATTACAAATGGGCAAAATCACTGAAAACGTCACCTTTTCACAGATCGGTTAGAAACTGTGATCCTACATTTTGAATTGTCTTTCTTAACAACCACTGGTACCGGATTCAGTTAAGAAAGTCAAGAGGGTCTTCATCAGTTCAACAAATTTTCTATTCACTAAATGCTAATAGAAGAAGGTAAGAGTGGAAAATCTTTTGTGTTCTGTTTGACTGGCTTATTTGTGAAAGTTTCCCTAAAAGACATTTTCCAAGATTGTTCTAGCTACTGTCTTTATTTCAGGGCCCAGCTGATGTGTCCTTGAGAGCCCTTGTGAGCCCAGCTCCAGCTGGGTCACATTGTTTATGCTCAAGGACAAAGAATGATGATTCCAATATTACTTCCTAAATCATTTACCACAGTTCCTAACTGCTACTAACCAAAAGAGGCACCTCAGAAGAAAGACCTGGTGATCTGCTTCCAAAAGGTCACAACCATGAAAATGCTATGGAGCACATTTCTACTCTGAAGCACACAGGGTTGCCATGAGTTGGAATCAACAACAGCAACTGGTTTACCTAGCATATGGAGTCCCTGGGTGGTGTAAACAGTTAATGTGCTCAGCTGCTAACCAAAAGGTTGGAGGTTGGAGTCCATCCAAAGGCGCCTCAGAAAAAAAGGCGTGGCGTCTACTTCCAAAAAGTCAACCATCGAAAATCCTATGGAACAAAATGTACATACGTGCAGTGGAATATTATTCAGCCATAAAGAGAAATGAAGTCCTGATATATGTTAAAACATGAATGAACCTTGAAAACGTTGTTGTTTAGGTGCCATCAAGTCGGTTCTGACTCATAGCGACTCTATGTACAACAGAAGGAAACACTGCTCAATCCTGCGCCTTCCTCACAATATCGTTATGCTTCAGCTCATTCTTACAGCCACTGTGTTAATCCATCTCATCGAGGTTCTTCTTCATTTCCACTGACCCTCGACTTTGCAAGCATGATGTCCTTCGCCAGGGACTGATCCCCCGATAACATGTCCAAATTATGTGAGATGTACTATAGCATCCTTGCTTCTAAGGAGCATTCTGGTTGTACTTCTTCCAGCACAGATTTGTTCATTCTTTGGGCAGTCCATGGTATATTTGATATTCTTTGCCAACACCATAATTCAAAAGCATGAATTCTTTGGTCTCCTTATCCATCATCCAGCTTTTGCATATGAGATGATTGAAAACATCATGTCTTGAGTCAGGCACACCTTAGTTTTCAAGGTGACATTTTTGCTTTTCAACACTGGAAAGAGGTCTTTTGCAGCCGATTTGCCCAATGCAAA